GCCGAGTGGTCTAAGGCGCTGGTTTTAGGCACCAGTCTTTCGAGGCGTGGGTTCGAATCCCACCGCTGCCAGGATTCCGTATTTTTAGACACATTGCATTTATTGTCAGTTTCTATTATGTATCAGCATTTCTTTGATCCGAAGGTAACGTGCCCGAGTGGTCTAAGGCGCTGGTTTTAGGCACAAGTCTTTCGAGGCGTGGGTTCGAATCCCCCCGATGCCAGGGTTCCGTATTTTTACACACAGTGCATTTATTGTCAGTTTCTATTATGTGTCAGTATTTCATTTCTCCGAAGGTAGAGAGGCCAAAACACTGGCAGCGGTGGGATTCGAAACCCACGCCTCGAAAGACTGGCGCCTAAACCAGCGCCTTAGAATCATCTCCGGCCACGTTACCTTTCGAGAAAAGAAATGCTGACACTTACATAATGAAACCGACAAAAATCACTGTGTCTTAATACGGGAACACTGGCATGCGGGGACAGTGAACCCACGCCCTCGAAAGACTGGTACTCAAAACCAGGGCCTTAGACCACTCTGGCCGCCAACATCGGAAAAAAAGAAATAGCTGAGACATATCAAAGCGACAATGTAGCGCACGTTTAAAAAGCGGAACCCTGGCAGCGGTGGGATTCAGAACCCACGCCTGAAAGACTGGACTCATAAAACTGGCGCCTTTGAACCGGGCCAATCATAACTTCTGGTGACAAGAAATACTGAGAAATAATAGAAATGACAATATATGCACTGTGTCTAAAATACGAACCCTTGGCAGTGATGATTCGAACCCACGCCTCGAAGACTGCGCCTAAAACCAGCATTGACCACTCGCCACGCTACCTTCGAGAAAAGAAAACACAAATAAACGACAATAAATACACCTAACAAAATACGAACCGGCAGCAGGTGGATCAAGACCCACTCGGAAAGACTGGTGTCTAAAACCAGACGCCTTAGACCACTCGGCCACGCTACCTTCAAAAAGAAAACACACATATAGGAAACTGAAAATATATGCATCGTTTTAAAAAATACGAACCAATGGCAGCGGTGGGTTCGAACCCACGCCTGGAAAGACTGTCTGAAACCAGCGCCTTAAACCACTGCCACGCTATCCCTCGAAAAGAATACTGAGACATAATGAAAACTGACAATGTCGACTGTGTCAAAATAATGGAACCTGGCAGCGGTGGATTCAACCCACGCCTCGAAAACTGGTGCTAAAACCAGCGCCTATACCACTCGGCCACGCACCTTCGGAGAAAAGAAATACTGAGACATATAGAGCTGACATATGCACTGTGTCTAAAATCGAACCTGGCAGCGGTGGATTCGAACCACGCTCGAAAGACTGGTGCCTAAAACAAGCGCCTTAGACCACTCGGCCACGCTAGCTTCGGTGAAAGAAATACTGAGACATATATAAAACTGACATATATGCACGTGTCAACAAATTGCGGAACCCTGGCAGCGCTGGAGTTCAGACCGACGCTCAAAGACTGGTTCCGAAAACCAGCACCTTAGGCCACCTGCACGCACTTCGAGAAACGAAACACTTACACATAATAGAAACCAAATTCACTGGTCGTCTAAAATACGCGAACACTGGCAGCGGTGGGATTCGAACCACGCCTCGAAGACTGTGTGCCTAAACCAGCGCTTAGACCACTCGGCCACGCCATCCCGGGAAAAGAAATACTGACATAATCAAACGGACAATATATGCACTAGTCTAAAAAAGGAACCTGGCAGCGGGGGATTCAACCACGCTCGAAGATGGTGCCTAAAACCAGCGCTTAGACCACTCGGCCACGCTACCTTCGGAGAAAAGAAATACTGACACATAATGAAACCGACAATAAATGCACATGTGTCTAAAATAGGAAACCTGGCACGGTGGATTCGAACCCACGCCCGAAAGACTTGTACCTAAAACCAGGCTGAACACCTGCCACGCATACTTGGATAAAGAAATCTGAACATAATGAAACGACAATAAATGCACTTGTTTAGAAAATACGGAACAACAGCAGCGGTGATCTGAACCCACGCCTCGAAAGACTAGTGCCTAAAACCAGCGCCTTAGACCACTGGCCACGTACCTTCGGAGAATAGAAAACATTACACATATAGAAACTGGACAATAATGCACCTGTCTAAAATACGGAACCCCTGACGGCAGTGTGGATTCGAACTCCGCCCCTGAAAGACTGGTACTAAAACCAGGCCTTAGACCACTCGGCCACGCACAACATCGGAGAAAAGAAATCTGAGACATAATGAAACTGACAATGTATGCAACTGTCTCTAAAAGGAAACCCTGGCAGCGGTGGGATCTGAACCACGCCTGAAAGACTGCGCCAAAACAGCGCTTGACCGCTTGGCCACGCTAACTTCGGGAAAGAAATAGCTGACATAATAGAAACTGACAATATAGCACTGTGTTCTAGGAACACTGGCGCGTGGGATTCGAACCCACGCCTCAAACTGGTCTAAAACCAGCCTTAGACCACTCCAGCTACCTTCGGAGAAAAGAAAACTTACACATAATAGAAACTGACAATAAATCACCGTGTCTAAAATACGAACACTGGCAGCGGTGGATTCGAACCACGCCTGAAAGACTGGTGCCTAAAACCAGCCTTACCACTCAACGCTACCTCGGAGAAAAGAAATACTGACACATAACAAAACGACCATAAAGCACTGTGTCTAAAAATACGTAAAATGCAGCGGTGGGATTCGAACCCACGCCTCGAAAACTGGTCCAAAAACCAGCGCCTTAGACCACTCGCCACGCTACCTTCGAGAAAAGAAATGTGACACATAATAGAAAACGACAATAAATGCACTGTGTCTAAAATAGGAACACTGCAGCAGCGTGGATCTGAACCACGCCTCGAAAGACTGTGTGCCTAAACCAGCGCCTTAGACCATCCGGCCACGCTACCTTCGTAGAAATGAAATATTGACACATAACAGAAACGACAATATATGCACTGTGTCTAAATACGGAAACCTGGCAGCGGGGATTCGAACCCACGCCTCGAGAAGACTAGTCCAAAACGGCCTTAGGACCACTCCCACGCTACCTTGGAAAAGAAATACTGACAAAATGAAACCGACAATAAATAATTGTGTCTAAAAATACGAACACTGGGCGGTGGATTCGAACCCACGCCGAAAGACTGGTGCTAAAACTACGCCAATCATGCCACCTATCTCGGGGAAAGAAATACTGAACATAATAGAAACTGACAATAAAATGCTAACCAGTCTAAAATACGGAAACCTGGCAGCGGTGGGATTCGAACCCACGCTCGAAAGACTGGTGCCTAAAACCAGCGCCTTGACCACTCGGCCACGCTACCTTCGAGAAAAGAATTGACACATAATAGAACACAATAAATGCACGGTACAAATACGGAACACTGGCAGGCGTGGATCTGAACCACGCCTGAAAGACTGTGCCTAAAACCAGCGCCTTACATCGGCCACGCTACCTTCAGGGAAAGAAATGACATAATGGAAATGGACAATAATGCACTGTTCTAAAAATAGGAACACTGGCAGGGTGGGATTCGAACCCACGCCTGAAAGACTGGTGCCAAAACCAGCGCCTGCACCACTGCCACGCTACCTTCGGAGAAAAGAAATGCTGACACAATAAGAAACTGACAATAAATGCACTGAGCTCTAAAAACTTACAGGATCATGCAGCGGTGGGATTCGAGACCCGCGCCAACATGGTGCTCTATAACCGGGTCGCCTAGACCAGCCTCGTGCCACCTGCCTCTCTCAGAAACAAATTGACACATAATTAAACGAGCAATTAATGCACTGTGTCTAAAATTACGTAAAACCTGGAAGCGGCGGGATTCGAACCCACGCCTCGAAAGACTGGTGCCTAAACCAGAGACTAGACCACTCGGCCACGCTACCTTCGGAGAAAAGAAATGCTGACACATAACAGAAACTTACAATATATGCACTGTGTCTAAAAAATACGGAACCCTGGCAGCGGTGGATCTGAACCCACGCCTCAAAAGAGTGGAACCTTAAAAAACAGCGCCTTAGACCATCACACACGCCATTCCGGGAAAAGAAATACTGACACATAACCGGAAACGGACAATATAAGCACTGTGTCTAAAAATGTAACCCTGCCAGCGGCGGATTCGAACCCACGGCTGGAAAAAGATGGGTGCTTAAAACCAGCGATAGAACTACCGGCCAAGCAATACGTAACTGAACGAAGCTAACAG